CCATTCTTTAACATCSCTTGAACRGTTAGGCCAGTAGAATCTCTCCTTGACWATTCCTGTSGTCTTGTTAACGCCTAGATGTCCGGCTGACTTGCTRTCGTGAAGCTCTGTAAGTACTTCTTTYWTGGTTTTTGGTACCAGAAGTTGCCAACGAAAGTGGGTGCCATCCTCAGATTCCCAGCGTCGATACAACACTCCGTCGTTGAACGCCAATCGTTCCCATTGGGCCCATAACGTCTTGACTGCATTGCTCTCTGCCRATACCGATTCCCACTTTGGTTTCTGCTTCTCATGTCTCATCCATCCRATCACGGTGCTGATGTCTGGATCATCCTTTTGTTGTCGCTGTAGCTCGTCGTTTGATTTAGACTGAACCCATGTGTCCTTCTCTGGTGGGGGGCTTGKGATCCTGCCGCTGGTCTGTAGTCCCAGCGTGCGTGGACTACAGACCAGCGGTAGGATCCCAAGACCCCCACCAGAGAAGGAAACATGGGTTCAGTCTAAATCAAACGACGAGCTAAAGCGACAACAAAAGGATGATCCAGACATCAGCACYGTGATCCCACTTTACTTCGGCGCAATCTTCGCTTTCCACGTGTTGCTTTTCCTCAGCTCTTGTACAGAACTTACAGTCACCGCAGGGTCGTCTTGATAGGGCGTCTGCGTTTGCATGCTTGCTATCGSTCCGGTGCTCGATTTTCATGTCGTAAGTACCCAGGTACTCCAGCCATCTTGCCAGTTGTCCTTCTGGGTTTTTTGAAGTTCATTAACCATCTCAGCGCACCATGATCAGTCCTCACTAAGAATGGTYGTCCRTACAGGTAGTGGTGKAAGCGCTTTACAGYCTTGACTACAGCCAACAGTTCTTTCCTGGTCATACAGTAGTTCCTCTCTGGTTTGGATAAGGATRCACTGAAGTAGGCCACTTCTTTCTCTTCGCCATTCTGAACTTSGGACAATACTGCACCAACGCCGTAGTTACTCGCGTCGGTGTCTAGGATGAACGGATCGTGGCTTGACGGGTAAGTCAGTACGGGTGATGACGTTAATGTGCACTTGAGGTGGTTAAAGGCGTCGTCACACTCTTGTGTCCATACGAACTCTCTGCCTTTCTCGGTTAGGCGGTAGAGTGGCCTTGATATTTCTGCAATCGTCTGTAGTAAGAACATAAGCCAAGGAAACTTCGTAGTTCCGGTACTTTGGAGGGTACTGGCCATTCTGATACTGCGCGGATTATCTCTGGGTCCGTCAACAGGCCTTTATCGCTGACCACATGTCCCAAGAACTTCACAGACCGCTGAAACATGTGACACTTCTYTGGGCTGAGTTTGAGTCCTGCGTCTCTCATTCTTTGAAGTACCTTGCCAAGACTGTCCTTTTCTTCTTCAAAACAATCTGCGTGCACGATRATGTCATCTAAGTAGGCCAAGCACACTTCCCATGGTAGTCCYGCGAGCACTCGTTCCATGAGCCTTTCGAATGTTSSAGGGGCGTTGACCAACCCAAAGGGCATTTTGGTGAATTGGAAAAGACCTCCGCTTCCCGTCGTGAAAGCAGTTTTCTCCCGGTCTTCCWCTTTCATTCCCACTTGCCAATATCCACTAGAAAGATCGAGTGTAGACAACCACTGGGAGCCGGCCAAAGCGTCAAAACAGGCTACCGGTAAGGGGTACGAGTCTTTGACTGTGGTTTCGTTGAGCTTGCGGTAGTCGACGCAGAATCTCGTAGAACCATCCTTCTTCTTCACCAGCACTATCGGCGACGCCCAGGCGCTCGAAGAGGGCTCGATGATACCGTCTTTCAGCATCTGTTGTACGTGTCTTTYSGCTTCCGCWCGTCTGTGCGTCGGTAGTCGACGTGGGGGCTGTTTGATCGGTTGCTGGTTCCCAGTGTTTATTCTGTGTTCCACCATGTCTGTTCGGCCAAGGTCGCATGAGGAGGCAGCGAAGACGTCTTTATACTTGTGAAGCAACTGGATGAGCTCTTGTCATTGTTTGGGGGTCAGGTATTTGCTACTTCGTTCCACCAGGTCCAACAAGTGATTCGGCAGGTCTTCTGTCGTTGCGGTTTCMTTTGTTATGGATTCTTCTTCTGTGATGACTTCGCCAACTGGTTCGCATACTGCTGCAACAGTCTTGCGAAAAATCGTGCGAGGTACGTGTGATGGGTTTAAGACTCTGAGTGGTATCGTTKGGCTCCCTGTGTTGACCACGGACCGCGCCAAAAGGACTTTGTTGGAGTTAAGCAGGCGCGCTGTCGGTTCCAGTAATGCCGTTGTGTTCCCATTGCTAGGCTCCATGAGTTCTCCGAAGACGACTGCTTCKCTGAAGGGTGGAATAACTGTAGTCGCTTTTACTGCTACATGGTAACACGATGGCCTCGAGSAATTGTTCTGCTGGTCAGCGGTTTCCTCCTGCTCGCCACTCCATGTCATTGTATAACGTCCGCCACGTAGCACTATCTCTCCTCCCACAGCACGCATCAGGTCCAGTCCCAGGATCCCGTCTTGCTCAATGTCYGCTTCCCACACGTTATGAGGCCTCTCTCTGTCTCCAAGTTRGACACTAAACGTTCCATGACCTTCGAACGAGGAAGTACTCCCATCAGCAAGGACCATCTTTTCTTGTACTCTCTGAAGTTTTGGGCAGTTGGCCATCTGTTCAACGATGCTTGACTTTACGATTGTGATATTTGCGCCAGAGTCAATCAGAAATTTGACAGGCTTCCCTTGAACACACCCTTCCACGTAAATTTCATCGCCGCAGTCTTCCACTCTTCCTGACTTCACAGCTGGTGCTTTGGGCATCTGTGTTCCTGTTGTCAGGTGTGTCAGGTTTATGCCCGTTGTCCTGACAGGCTCTCGTTTTCCGTCATCTGGTTCTCCTCGGTAACTTTGGACTCTGTTTGCTGTTGTCTCCTTCGCTGTTACCATGGTCGTCGTTTCCCTCCGTTTGCTTGTGTGGCGGTTTTACTCTGCTGCGCGGCCTCTGGGCAGTCACGTCGAAAGTGGTCTGGCGCTCCGCAGGTGAAACASCCTTCTTGTCGTCTACGCTCATGTGCTTTCAGTTGCTTGATCTGTGCCTTTAGAGCTTCCACCTCGCTGGCCAGGTCAGTCTCTCTGCTACTTGTCTGCACAGCCCTCAGGTGTGGTCCATTTTTCTGTCTGTTTGCTGCCTGGAACGCCTCTAGCTCAACTGCAATGTCCAGTGCCTGKTTGATGGAAGTTGGTCTTGATCTTCCACCTCGTATCAGTGTCCTCCAATGCGTCAACAAARGTATCTTTGGCTAGGACCTCTCTCAGCTCCGCGGGGACCTGGGGATAAGCGTTCCTTGTCATTTTTCGTATTGCTTGTGCCAGCTCCTGGAGMGTTTCGTTTCTTTTTCTCGTCCTTGTTTTCATAGCCTGCGTCACATCCGGACAAACTTTCCGTTAAGTCCGTCTGTGAAACAGCGTCGAAAAGCTTGTTCCGACCCCCAGCGGACTAGCAACGATATATGAAGCGATTTCTGATTGGCTGTTACCAATTCGAATTCTAACACGATCGGTGATTGGCTAATGACTTGTCACAACAATCACTTCCGACACGTTTACAAAATGGCGCTCGAAGAAGCATACCAAGAAGTTGAAAGACAGTTTGAGATCGACCTTCTGCCCGAACAAAAACAGAGTATCAAAGCTTTCTTTGAGGAGAAGAATGTTTTCGTCAATCTACCGACAGGATACGGAAAATCTTTAATTTTTCAGTGTTTACCGATAGTTTCTGACATCGTGAATGAGAAGCCTCGAGCTTCAAGTTTGATGCTCGTCATTTCTCCCCTCACAGCATTGATGAAAGACCAGACGGACAGGCTTAATAACCTGGGAATACCAGCCATTTCTCTGGTTGATGTACATGACCCAGATATTATTCAACAAGTTATCGACGGATTGTACGTTATTGTTTATTGCTCTCCGGAATACTTGCTGTCTAGCACCGGTAGAGATATTCTAAGCGATTCTACCTTCAAAAGCAAGCTTGTTGGAGTAGCCATCGACGAAGCACATTGCATATCGCATT